CGCTGGCAGTTTGACGTGCAAATCTTTGGCAAGTCAAAGTCAAAGTCCAAGTCGAGCTCGAAAGCGGCAGACCAGGAGAACGTCGCACCCGGCGGCGCGTCGGCGGCGGCCGAGGCCGCGCCCGACAAGACGGAAAAGGAGATCCAGGACGAGATCGCCGCCATCTTCCGCCAGATCACCGCCTCCGTCACCTTCCTCCCCCAGCTCGCCGGCGACTGCACCTTCAACGTGCTCGTCTACGCCGACGCCGACAGCGAGGTGCCCGTCGAGTGGGGCGACAGCGACGCAAAGGAGATTGAGAACGGCGAACGCGTCCAGCTGCGTGGCTTCAGCACCAGCAACCACCGCGTCGATACCCTCGTCAGCTACCGTCTGGCCGAGTGAGCCGGCTCGTCTCTCTCTTCCACCCCTTATGTCGGGCACCCCCTTACGTCGTTGCCGTGTACTATTACGATGGAGCTACAGAGATGAATTTACGATGATGGAGTGCGGAATCTGATGCCACATCCCCCCGAAATTCCGGGCTGGGGGGGCATCAACATGTTAAAGGCGTCTTGGCGTTGGAGGTCACTGAACATATTCGGAACACCCCGAGTCTGAATCTGTGATGAGCACTATCTTTGGCCGTCACCAGTAATGAAGAAACTATAATTTGTCTGCCTTCTTGTGCCCCTATACCGGAGTCTGTCTTATATGTGTATTCTCCTTTTCCACGCCACACATGACCGCTTCCCTCCATCTCCCTCCATGCAACCAACCATGCTTCTTCCCTTGATCATTGATACACGCAACTTCGACATGCCATTCGTATGCCCAGGACAACCGCCTTTGTCCGTTTTCGTCGTTATGCCGCAACCCAAACGCCATTGAAGAAGCACACGTAGGTTAACTTCCTCGTCTCCTCAATCTCCGCCGCTTCAACAACCTTACTGGCATTGAAGAGAGTTCCTAGACTCGCTTGAAGAAGTACACGTAGGCAAACTTTCTCATCTCCTCAATCTCCGCCGCTTCAACAACTTTCTCGTCGTTGAAGAGGACCCAAGCGGGGTGGCCGTCTACCTCCTTGCGAATGAAGGCTACGTAGTGACTAGTTTGATTGTTAGCTTGTTTCCACGACCACAACTCCGAAAGAGAAAGGCCTACCCAGCATGGATGCTTGTGCCCTTGTGGCAGGAGATGGACTGGAGCTGGTACTTGGCAGGGGTGACAGGACTTCCCGCCTCCGGCTTGGGTGCAGCAGAGTCGGATGCTGCCGCAGGCGCCTCTTCGTCGTCAAAGACTCCTTGATCGTCAGGGTGGCTGAAGAGCCACTCGACAGCTCGCTCAACATCACCGCTGGTCTCCCGCAGCGCCTTCTTCGCCTGTGGCACGGAGAAGCCCATGGCTCCGAGCATCTCAATCTTTTCGGGATCCGCAGCATCACCCTTGGCGCCTGCACCACCGCTAAGAACCAGAGGCTCATCAATGTCCGGGTCTTCCATGTGCGCAAAGAGCCACTCCATGGCGGCGTTGGCGTCGGAGTTGCCAGTGGCGTGGAGGGCGCGATCGCATCTGTTGCGGCCGAAGCCCATGGCTTCAAGCTGGCTGGAGGCCTCAGGGTTGGCGACGAACGCAGGGGCACTTTCCTCGACATCATCCGGAAGAGTCTCTTCCGATGGCTGGAGACCCTTGGAGATGTAGTCGTCGAGGAGGAAGGGCTCATCGGGAACGATGACAGGGACGTCGATCTTGACCGGAACCCAGTTGATGACAGCCATCTTCCTAGCATTGACGACAAGGTTCTCAGGGAGCGTCTTGAACAGAGATCGCTTGGTGTAACCGTCCTTGCTTCCACATGCAGAACACGTCAACTCCACAACCTCTTCGGCGGTGAAATTATCCAGACACTCTCTGAGCGTGACGGGCTTGTACGCATCGGCCTTCGCCTCGGCACCCTCCTCGGCGGGGAGCTTCTCCAATGGGACGTCGATGAAGATGTTGTCTTGCTCATTAGTCGAGTACCTGACCTTCTTGCATCCAAGGCATTGCAACCTCTGCTCAAGAACGAAGCGGAAAGGTTGGGTCGGGTCTCCAAGATCGGGGGGATGCGGGGAACGAGTGATAAGCTTGAAAATGTGCTGCAACAGCTCAAAGGCATCCTGTTGGCGCATGGTCGAGAACTCGGCATGACCTCTGCCGATCAAGTGCTTCAACATGGCGGGTGCCAGGCCCTTCTGCGTCGGGAGATCGGGGGACTGATCAGATGGGACAGCATCGGAATCGGGTCTCGAGTAGCGGCCTGAAATCAGGCCGTCTGCCATCTTGCGAAGCTGGGTCTCCAGATCCTCCGCAGGGTCATGGACAACGGGAAGGTCGCGGGCAGGCAAGAAGTAGCGGTTCTTGAAGGCGGGGGTATCAAAAAGACACTGGACGATGCTGGCAAGGTAGCAGCTGTTACCGAGGTTCTTGAGGCCAGTCAAGCCGGCGCCAAAGAGAGGCTTCAACTCCTTTCCGTCCTCAGTAGTCATGCTGAAGTCCCAGCGCAAGTTTTGCTCAATCTGCATCTCCGTCAAGCTCTTCTCCGTCTTCTGTCGATCGGCCAAGATGATTCCCCAGTGGCCCAGATGCTGGCCAAGGTCTCCGTCAATTCTCTCCTCATCGCACTTGTAACAGTAGACGTCTGCAGTACCCTCTGGGGTAATGGATCCCAGCTTGACAGCGACACCATGTCCAGACTCGGTCGAGTGTGCGAGGGCGTGGGAGTTACCATCGACACCGCCCATTTGCTTGCGGCCGCAGCCCAGGTTCCCGCACTCCAGGCAGAGCCAAAGGTTCTCGTGCAAGTCGCAGGCCGAGCAGTGTCCAAGATCGCCGGAATGAATGGTTCGGGGCTCCGACTGCTGCATAAGCAAGATGTGCTCGCAGCTGGTCAGCTCCTGCTCCCAAGCCTTGACCTCCTCCTTGCGGGAAAAGGTGTTGGCCTTCATAATTCCATCGACAACATTTGCAAGCTTGTCACTTGTCTTGTCAAGCTCTTGGTTGCACTCGAGGCACTTGACGGTGGTTGTGGTGTCGAATCGGTCTTCTTCGGTCTCGGCGGCGATAGCCAGCTTCGACATCTTGAGCGGAGGCTCATCTCGGACGACGACTTTGCGGGTGCGGCGAATATTCAGCACGAGAGGGTGCTCCCATAGCCGTCGGTGAAGCTGGGCGTGGCTGCGATCACCAGCACAACCGCCGTTGAAGCACTGGAGGCAGACATCAACGCCGGCGGGATCGTCCTGGACACAACAAGTCAGCAAATGAAGGTCGAGGGAGGCTTAGAGAAGTGCTTACACGGGAGTCGAAGCACTGGGTGCAGTCCTCTCGGTAGACAGATTGGATGGGCGTCGGCGGCTGCAGAGCTGCAAGATGTCAGCTGGGTGAAGCTTCGCATGGGCAGAGGAGATGTCTGTAAGCCTCGGGGAACACAAACTTGGGGCTATGGTCTCCAGATGAGGGCACGCCATGGTGGAAGCTGGTGGTGCTTTTTCTCGTTCAGAGATCGCAGTCAGTGAGCTTCGGAATGTTGCTGTGGTGGGTGAGGGTTGAAAGTTGTGTTGACTTTTGAATGCGCCCTGGCTGTCTTGTGGACAAGGCAAACAGGCAGGTGCAGCAGAGGCGTCAAAGCGCAACCTTGAAAGGAAGGAAGCTGAGTTGAGAAGACGCAAGGCAGGTTCCTGAGCAAAGCAAGTCAGAGCAAACAACCGATAAGCTCAAGCTCTTGCAGGAAAATAGTGGTAAGGTAAGGTAGGTAAGGTAGGTAAGGTAGTGGCCGTTGTGGTGGTGCACCCAGCTCAGTCTTGGTGGGCTGTATTGGTTGGTGCTGGTGCTGGTGCTGCCCCGCGGCGGGGACCCGGTCACGGCACCACAAGGCAACACTGAACCTCTACTGCTGCGGGAGAGCTTGAGCTTAGGTAAGGACAGGCTGCCTGGAGCTGAACGATTACGTAGGGAAGTGGGGCTGTCGCAGTGGTTAATCGCATTGCGCTGTCTACGTGCATGACAGCTGCTTAATTGCGCGTGGATGAGTCAAGATGCTGTCTTTGATGCAACACCGACTTTTTAGTGGAGATTATGCACCGAAACGACTTTCCCCGGACTTAAGAACAGAGGACAGAAAAAAAGAAGAACAAAAAAGCGGACACGGGACCCTGCCTACCGCCGACCGGCCGGTGATTGAATCTGGAGCACGTAAGACCAGCGACGACGGAGGTGCAGGACGTATCTAATCAGATCCAATCTCTTTCGTTGACGAGGACAATGACAAATTATTGCCGCCCCGTCGGATGCTCCACCGCAGCTGCGAATCCCGCCCAGCCAGCTGGTAGGGACAGAGGGGAGGCCTGGCGCGGGCTGTCAGAAGACGGGGATACGCTCCGGTGCCGTGCGGCACGTACTCTCCCCGTCGCTGAGCCGAGGAAACGTGCCTTATCACAGCCAATGAGACGACGTCTGACGAATCAAGTGGAGGCGGTCGAGTTTTTGTCTTCTCCGAGGCGCCGAGCCTAGTGAGCTCTCCATGACTTAATGCATGGTCATTGAAAGCTCTGATTGGCGGCTGGCACCTGCTACCACCGAGATCGCCATCGTTCTCCGTCACAAGTCCCGCATCCGCAGTGTGTGAGTGCCAGATTCTGGAGCCCGTCCCAGCGCCCGCTCCAGTGAAGTGAACTGCGACGGTGCCACTCCCAGTCTCCCACTGCCAGTGCCAGCGCCAGCTCTCTCCATTTTATTCTTTTGACCCGAATCTTCGCCTCCTCTTTCTGCCGTCCGCTAAACCCTCAGCTGCCGAGTGCCCTTCTGCCTCAACAAATTTCTTATTTCGCCCTCCTCTTGTCGCCAGCACCATCGACAATCACTTTTGATACCCTCAATCGATTCTTGCGACTTCAAACACACCTGCGACGATTTCCTAAGCTCGATACCTACCCGCACACAGCCAACCGAAAAAGACCCCGACGACGAAAATACCCTTCACGATGTTCTCCAGGTCCCTCCGTGTCGCTTCCCGCGCGATCCTCACCACCTCTGTCCGCCCCTCCGCCGCTCCCGCCCGCCAGCTTGCACCTGCTGTTGCCGTCGGCGCGACGAGGGCATACCACGAGAAGGTGCTGGACCAGTATGTGACCCCGGATATCACGTTTGGAAGACGAAGAGTACTGATGTCTGCGAAACAGCTACTCCCGCCCCCGCAATGTCGGTTCCATGCCCAAGGGCGACAAGGACGTCGGCCAGGGCCTCGTCGGCGCTCCCGCCTGCGGTGACGTTATGAAGTAAGACGACTCCCGCCAAGAACATCCCCAATATCATCAAGTCGCTGTCGGCACGCACTGCGGGGCTCGGCATGCCCTCCGGTCGCAAGCTGCTTCATTTTGCTTCGGCTCCCTCCCGAATGCACTCGCACATCAACCGACGGCCATGCGATATATATCCTTCATCTCTGTCAGACCTACATGCTAACAAGTTTGTCGCAGGCTCAACATCCGCGTCGACCCCAAGACCAACACCATCTCCGATGTCAAGTTCAAGACCTTCGGCTGCGGCTCCGCTATCGCATCCTCCAGCTACCTGACCGAGCTCGTCCGTGGCATGACGTGAGTCGACACATTTCTCTACATTACTCATCTCCTTGCTAACCGTCAATGTAGTTTGGAGCAGGCCGGCCGAGTGAAGAACACTGAGATCGCCCAGGAGCTCAAGCTTCCTCCCGTCAAGGTATGGCTGCCCAGACGACGCAAAGCTGTCGCATTGTCCAGTGCTAACAAAACAATAGCTTCACTGCAGCATGCTTGCCGAGGACGCCATCAAGGCCGCCATTTCTGACTACTACACCAAGAACCCCAACGCGAAGCCCACCAACCTCGCGGGCACCGAGGCCAAGACCGAGGCCCCCGCCGCCGCTTCCGCATCCGCATCCGCATGAATGATTTATGTCTTTTCTTAACCCGTTACACGTTTCATGGAGTTCGGACACGGAGAATGATGCCAGGTGGTGCAGTGGGTGTGGTGAGGCCTGGTGATTGGGCGATTCTCGCCTAAACAAGATTTCGTTGTTTCAAAACATTTTTTCAACAAAATTACTGGAGTTTGGGAGGGAAATACGGATTCACACGGCTTGGATGGACGAAGGCTCCTTCATCGCGGCCGCTATGGCCATCACGATATTCAAGCCCACGCTGCCACGAAGCTACTCTTTACAAAACCTCATCTCAGAGGCTTCCGAGGGGCAGGGTTGTACGTCAGTGTTGAAATACCATTTTAGTTAGTGGCCAGCTTATCAGCGACCGACAAGACAGATGAAAATCCGAAGAAAGCAACATGAGTATTTCCAAAAACTCGACATTGCATGGGGAACTGAGAGTGAGGCTTGACGAGGCCCGACCAACAGAGTGCACCGATAGCGGCGCGTTCGTTGGCTAGGCCTAATGCATCGTGAGATTGGTGATGCGGGGCGAGTGCGATTGATGCTGGGAGGACTCCCTCTCCAAGGGTATAGCCTGACCACGTTCATGCTTTGACTCCGTATCGCAATTCCTTGGTCAGTGAAACACCACGAGGACAAGAACATGCATGGAAATGCGAACGTCGGTTTGGGACTCGTGAGTAACTTATTTCAATCACATTCTTTGATCACGGGAAATGTGTGCGAGTGAGCCGGCCCAAATGCCGACCCGGCGGGCTTCGGATGGTCCTCGGAGACTTCTGGTCGGATCCCCTGCCACCGTCTCCGCCATCCTGCGCAGGACCGATCACGGCCGCGGCACAACGCCCCGATCTTATCTGCCTGCTCTGTAAGCAGCGTCGGAGCAGCTCCCGATTCTTCAAATGGTTAACCGTGTTGGGGCGAGGCCATGGACAACTCCGCCAACACCACATTGTCAACGACGCCTCTGCCTCGCCGTCTTGGGAAAACGACGACGAGAACTCGGCGGACTTTGACGATGGCATCGCAACAGGCGGACATGAAAGCCGTCGGGTTTGAAGTGTCTTGTCGAGAAAGACGATAATGTACGGCCGTAATGGCTTCATAAATCAAAGACGCAATTCTTGCGGCTGTTACGATGGAAAGCAAGAATACCAAGATCAGTTCATTCGACCTCGTTTCAACATTACCATCATGCGACTCTTCCAGCCCCCAGTGACGCCGTTACCGGATGACTTGGATCTTAACGGCCAAACCGCCATCGTCACAGGCGCCACGTCTGGAATCGGCCTTGCCTTGGCAAAGCAGCTCGTTCTCCTGAGAGCCTCGACGGTTGTACTTGCGGTCCGCAACACCTCCAAAGGCGAGTCGGTAAAACGAGAACTTCTGGATGATGCAGCTATCAAGTCGGCCAACCCAGACGCCATCGTCAAGGTCATGAAGATGGATGCCGAAGACTACCGCAGCGTCCAGTCTTTTGCAAAAACATTCTGCAGTGAGCACAGAGACCTCCACATTCTGATGCTGAACGCTGGAGTTCCGGGACTCAAGCGTCATGTTGCTGCGACGAATCACGAGGCGACGGTCCAGGTGAACTACCTCTCCAATGTGCTCCTGATGCTCGAGCTTCTCCCTTTGTTAGAATCCACGGCTGAGAGGACGAGGGCTCCCGGGAGAGTCACTTGGACCGGAAGCCGAGCCATAGGAAACACCAGCTTGGCGGTAAAGGCGCCTCTCGCCCCCGGAGAGTCAGTGTTGGAGCACTTGGACGCCGAGGCGAACTTTTACGGTCTGTCTCGGTACGCGGACAGCAAGCTCCTGGTGGTTCTGTTCCTCCGAGAGCTGCGGCAACATTTGGGGCCTGAGAAGGTCATCGCCAATGCGTTTTGCCCCGGGATGGTGAAGACGGCAATGAGCGACGTGCTGCCGCTGCCTTTGAGGTTGGCAGTGAATGCGGTGAAGGCCGTACGAGCCAGGTCTCCGAAGCAGTCTGGCTGGATCGGGCTTCATGCTGCCGTGGTGGTGGGTGCTGAAACGCACGGGAAACAGCTGGGCGATAAAGACATCTGGAAGTAAGTACTGGATCTTGGTTATGGAGGCAATGATACTGACGTCGTTTCTCAGGCCAGAAGGCTACGCCAATTCTGATGATGGCATGCGGCTACAGAAGCTATTGTGGAAGGAGACCGCGGATGAAATGTCAAAGTTCACTCAAATACCAAAGTGGATGTCAAGTTGAGGGGGAAATCTCATGTAACGTTGAGGATGCAATGTAATGTTGAAGGCACCGTTATGAGAGCCAGGACTTTCCATTGGTATTATCCGTGGATGTCTTCTTGGTTGGAACAACGCTCAGCTTGAAGGCCTGAATAGTTTAGTAATACATAATCAAAACTCGACATCGAACTGCCGCAGACATTGACGTCTCGTGGGTCTGGTAGCAATTGCAATGCGCACCGTTGTTCTTCTTTGCCTCATCCTCACCGGTTACTTTCATGCTGGTACGGCCATTTCTCCTGCATGTATCTGGCTCTCTAATGCATAGGAATGAGGAGAGTTCACAGGTACGTTGGTTGCCGCAATATCAAATACTCATATTGTAAAAACTCAGGTACAACACATGCCACTCCTAACGTGGATGAACAGGAGGTGGCGGCGGCAACCCACCCTGTGACTCCGTCATATCACTACTCGACTCGCCATCACTGTCTTCTTCGGAGGAATCCGAGCTTTCGTTAGCCCCCGCAAAGTGCAGGAACAGTATGCGCACCAGAAATCCAGCGCTGATGAAGAGAGGAAGCATTTGGACGACGTCGGAAATGTTGTTTACATCTTGGATGTGGTTCCACGAGATGGTCAGCTCAACGGCAGCGGTGAGAGTGGCCGCGACGGCAATATTGCTCAAAGTCTTGATCTCCTTGACTAACATGACATGCACCGCTCTGCAGAATCGGCATTAGGATTGACTGACATCATCATAATGTGGCTGGGAGTTGACTCACCTGATCCTACGCTTCTTGCGCCTCTGCCGCCAGAACGGTATCTTCCAACCCATCTTGAGCAGCAAGACGACGACACAAACTAGCAGGATGGCAAAGCAGAGAATCGCGTTGAAGGCGACGAATGCCTTGTTACCAAGCTTGACGCAACTGAAGAAGAAGCCGCACTGGGACGAGGAGCACGGATTCTCCGGAACAAACGAGCACCAGAACCAGATGCCCAGCGCTGTCAACGCCAGGAGCAATGTGAAGCTGAGACCCTTGAAGGCCGGGCTTGGATCCTCCTTGGCCCATCGGAAGGGGTTCCAGTATGGGTTGAAGCACGTCAACGCTTTCCATACATACAATGGAACCAGGAAGAAGTAGATGCCCATCGCTAGGAGGAAGACGATATAGACATCAACTGGCTGTAGAGTGGTCACGGTGACTTTGACAATCAGCCCGAAGAAGGCGGCGGCGGAAAACAGGAGGCCAATGAGTCTGATGTCGGGCAGGTCGGCGACCTCGAGGTATTCTACAATGATTGCGCCGAACCATTGGATGTAGAATGCGACTCGAAGGCCGAGCCCGTACAGGTCAGGCCTCCCCTGTACCTGACAGCTATCCATAGAGCCGCGGGGTGTGGTTTTGTTTTGAAGAAATGACGGCTGCAACGGCTACTGACGCCCATCTCGGGGGAAGGCTACTATTTCTACCTCATCTCGAAGCTGTTCTATTCCCCCACCCCCGTGGGGCGCCGCGTTGTCGCCATCGAGGTGCAACGTGGGACGCTATCAGAAGAGGGCACAACAAGGGTGAACGCCGCACCGTCAGCCGTGTGACATGGGCATCGCAGGGTGATGCGCTGCCGCGATCATCTCCCCATGCAGCACGAGAACCAGACTCATTGGCAGGACGGGACAGGGTTGAAGTACGAATATAGGCTGGGTATGGAAATCCCTCGAAGAACTGCAGACGGTGGCTAGCTCCCGTTGCAAGGGTTGGGCCGCCTTGCTGACGCCCAGGGGACTATTGGCTGACATGGCGGCCTCGATGCCCGCGGCCGCCTACCTGATACCTGTACGCGAACGCTGTGGTGTGCCGAATCTTGTGCAGTTCGCAGATACGCACAAGAAGTTCGCCGGCATATTTCACAACGTCGGTGTCTCTGATGGTTCCTTTTTCCTGGACGTTGATAGTCCCAGTTTCGTGGTAACGGAAATGGACAGTTGACGGCCCGCTCCTGTTGGGCAGGTCTCGCTCAAGTTACCCGAGCGCAGCTCCAGAGGCACGACGGAAGATATCCCATTCGACGGCGCCGGTGGTTTGAGCCAACGACGGCCTCCCTCAGTGCTTTAAACCAAGTCTCGGCTGGGATTACCACGCACCCGTCCGACTTGGGAGGGGGCTGCATGCGGCCTCAGAGGCAGAGAGACGGGCAGCAAGGCCCAACAGGGAGTATCGTAACAAGCGAGTGACAGCTGGCAGTGAGGGGAAGGGCACATGGAGTGGAATCCGCGCGGAAGTGGGAGAGGTGGGGAGGGTGAGTGAAGAACACTGAAGTCCGGGGCCGATTGAGGAAGGTGGAAAACACCGAGTGGGTCTTCAGCTCCGATTCTGGCCGGGGCTCGGTGAGCGGGGAAGCATGGGCCACAACGAGATTAGCGTGACGAGCGGGTCTGGACCCTTGGCCGCTGCTTATCGGCTGCCAATCTTATCGCCCTATCGATAAGCAATTTTTTTTTCTCTGCGTCTGTCTCTGCGACCATCCGATCGTACTTGCACTCGCCCCTCAGCCACCCGCCCTTTCGACTCGAGCTCACCGTCTTCGGGGATATTTTCAGCGTCGCAAGTCAATTCCCACAGCGACCGAGCCCAGAATCTCGACAATGGCCGCCACAAAGCACTCTCTCGCCGACAGCGAGGTCGAGCAGATCCCCAGCAAGAAGCAGAAGGTCAAGGACCTCCCTGCCGCTGGCGATGTTGACAGCGACGAGGCCGCCGAGCTGAAGAAGCAGAAGA